CTGTTGTAGAGCCTAACTATGGGTTCTAAGATTTCATTTGTTGTAAGAGACCAAACAGGTAAACAGTACGACATGGTTGAGAGTATAATGGCATGAAGATAGATATTTGAAACAGACGATGTCAGATTGGATCTAATTTTTGAATAAACATATACTGTAATTTCTGTTTCAACTTAGTGGTTAAGACTTGTACATGATCACGATAAGTCAAATGAGAATCCARAGTAATTSCAAGATATTTGTAGGTAGTGACAATATCAACGGGTTTGTTTCTTCACTACTAAACACCAAAGTTTTAGACTAAAATCATTTGATGTGGAGAAAGGTTAGAGCTGATGATGCCTGTGGAAATGGGGAAATCTAAAAGCTTGAGGTGTTCCGTGTGACAATCCTACAGTTTTATATTTCACCGGAGAACAGAAAACCCAAACATGAGGTGAAGAGTCCTGGTTGAGGYGACACCACCTCACCAAGCAGGAATGTAAAGCAGGTAGCTGCAGCCATGCGAGGCTTTGACAGGTTCATGCATGTGCATGTTCCTGCTGCAAAGCACACTGTGCTGCTGTGTTATTTATTTTTGACACACAAATTCCTCCATAGRTAGAAACTCCAAAAAGACCACTTCMAAATTTATTTTTACTCTAGTTTGAATCTCTGATCTTCCAAGTCAGCACGTTTTTTTTAATACATTCTTGTATCTGCTGTCAGCTGTGACAAGGCCTGTGCCTTTATAATAAAAATAACTCAGAGAAATGTTATTAAAGCTGATGAATCTCAGCAAATGAGCCTAAAAACAACAAATAAGGAATTCTGACATCATTAGAGCCTCTCTTTTAAAAGTGCTCGTCTTTGTGATCTTCATGCGAGGCGTTATTTTTAAATATGCTAATTCAGTTAAGCGAGCTCTCTTAACGGGACAAACAAAGGAAGATAAATGAGCCGAGAGACTTTTGAACAGGAGTGTGCAGGCGAAGGAGCCCTGAGGCGTGAGCTCAGACGTCATGTTTTAACAGATTCAGGGRGATTGGATGAGCAGTGCAGAGCCAGCACGTCTCTGTTTTACAGCACAGCTCGTAGCAGCGCTGACAGGTAGATCAATGATGGAAACCTGCTGCTGATGTGTAACATTCAGACTGTAGGTGTGAGTCCTGACGGGGGGGCTCACAGTGTGGCAGAGCTGTCTGTGCAGTGACACATTCCTGCTGCAGGAGAAACAGGACGTTTAGATCCGCTACAAGGAAAGATGGAGATTTACTGAGCTTAGCACATTTAGATGATGTTTTACACGCTGCTGTGAGGAAGCAAGGATTTCAAACAACAAACGACTAGTTTATTTTCTTTCAGACTTATTCATTTTATAATATTAGGACATTCGGTGTGACTAAATGCTGAATGACTTCACTTAATTCAGTTGAGGAGTGAATTTTCAACTGATTTGTTAAAGGTAAAACAATCAGAGCAGATGTAAAAATCAGCAAAATACTAAAGGATGTAATCAGCAATACAGTAGCTAAAAGTTTAAATTAATACAACCAAGTCGCAAATGAGCTAAGCGGCAGCAAAATTTGAAAACTTCTAAATTTTAGCTATGCATTAGCTTGAAAATCAAATTAGCACAATCGTCTCTGTAAGCTAAAATCAGCAAAACATGAAGCTAAAAGATATATAGTAATTGGCAAAACAGTAGCTAAAAACTAAAAGGAGCAAAACCATGACTAATATTGCAAATGAGGTAAGCAGTTGCAAAAATTTAAAACTTATAAAATTTTAGCGAAACATTAGTTAAAAAAATCAAACTAGCACAATCGTCTCTGAAAGATAAATTCAGCATAACAGTAGCTAAACGATAGAATTGGCAATACAATAGCTRAAAGCTACAAATAGCAAAAACATCATAAAATTGTCTCTGAAAGGTAAAATTGGCAAAGCTGTAGCTAAAATGACCAAAGCTGTTAATGACCAAAGCTGTAGCTAAAATGACCAAAGCTGTAGCTAAAATGACCAAAGCTGTTAATGACCAAAGCTGTAGCTAAAATGACCAAAGCTGTAGCTAAAATGACCAAAACTGTAGCTAAAATGACCAAAGCTGTAGCTAAAATGACCAAAGCTGTAGCTAAAATGACCAAAGCTGTAGCTAAAATGACCAAAGCTGTAGCTAAAATGACAAAAACTGTCAATGACCAAAGCTGTAGCTAAAATGACCAAAATTGTAGCTAAAATGACCTAAACTGTAGCTAAAATGACCAAAGCTGTTAATTACTAAAGCTGTAGCTGAAATGACCAAAACTGTAGCTAAAATGACCAAAACTGTAGCTAAAATGACCAAAATTATAGCTAAAATGACCAAAGCTGTAGCTAAAATGACCAAAGCTGTAGCTAAAATGACCAAAACTGTTAATGACCAAAGCTGCAGCTAAAATGACCAAAACTGTAGCTAAAATGACCAAAACTGTAGCTAAAATGACCTAAACTGTTAATGACCAAAGCTGTAGCTAAAATGACCAAAACTGTTAATGACCAAAGCTGTAGCTAAAACACAAAACTATTTAAGCAAAACATTAGCTAAAAATGAAATTAGCCCTAAAATCATCACACATTATTTTAGGTTGAGATGAATGTTTTGATGTATGAGTGGTTAGAATTGACCAAAGTAGGTGAAGGTAGTTTAATCTGAAAAAGAAAAAACCTGGGAAAAAATCTATAAACAGGAAAACAGAAGTGTAAATTATCAGCATTCAAATGACAAAAAAAACAAAAAAAAAAACAGAAAAAATAATAATTTGTGTTTTAGGTTGAGCTGAATTAAAAAAGCACATTTTTCTTTGTTAAATCCTTTTTTCTCTTTTTTTTTTTTCATCACCAGGTGGATCTTATATGAGGGGATCAACTACAGAGGGGCTCAGATTTTGCTGAGACCTGGTGAGGTTCCTGACTGGCGCAGGTTCAGCAGCTGGCAGAAAATCGGGTCCCTCCGCCCTCTCTTACAGGTTTGCCCCAACTGCAAACAATCTGTTTAGTGTTTTGTTTTAAAAGAGCTGAAAGCAAAAAATAAAAATAAAAAAAGAAATGTCATCCACTTGAATAACCAGAGATGTCTTTTCGATTGTGCGTGCAGAAGCAAGTGCATTTCCGTTTAAGGAACAGGCAGACGGGCTTAATGATGTCAGTGACTGGTGATTTAGACGAAGTCAAAATGCTGCGGATACAAGAAACTGAGGAGACGGAGGGCTTGGAGCAAATATGGTTTTACCAGAATGGACAAATGCACTGCAAGGTATAAGTGTTATCAGAGCTGCAATTTAGAGAATTGTTCATTTGTTTTAATTGATGAAGCGTTCTCTTGGTTTATGCCCAAAATGCTAAAGTCACGTTTTAAAGGAAAGGATCAGCTTAGTCCTAAAACTAACAACTATTTTAGGACTTAACAAGTCCTTCAAAATAAGATACAACACTAAAATGTGTGTGTGTTGTGTGTGTGCAGCTGTTAGAGGAGTGCTGCCTGTGTCCCAGCGGCAGCGTCACGATCGCAGGAAGCCGAATGGGTCTCACACCGGAGCTCGACAACCAGACCCACCTCTGGAGCGTCACCTCTAAGGGCTTCATTTGCTACACTCCCATCCCTGACCTGGTCCTGGACGTCAAAGGTGAGCATCCACCTCCCTCGTGCGACCTTTCATAAAAAAACGCCACGAGCTGTCGACACGGTCGCATCATTCTAACGGTGACAACGAGCTAACAGCAGATTTTCAATTGTTTAAAGTCTAAAGAAAAAAATATAATAATTAAAATGGTCATAGCAGTGTTTGTTCACATCTGCAGCAGGTAAGATATTACTTGTTCAGAACTGTTCCACAAAGAATGATTGCTCACTTTCTTACACAGCACAGTTTTATACTTGGCTGCAGGGTTAGTGATGAGTTTTACATCATACCAGAACACGTGACTTTCCCTCCCAAAGAAATCTCCTGATAAAACTGTGGAGAATCAGTTTCTAATCCCTGTAGATTAGCGACACCTTGTGGACTAAATGATGCTGCAGTCTGAACTCTGATCAGTCCTCTTCRATTTATTGTGAACAATGAACTTTCAAAGAAGTAATATTCAATCGATCAGTTTAAATAGAACAGTTAAAAACACAGAAATAGAAATTTCCTGTTTCTAATTCCAAATCTTTTCCTTTGCAGGCGGCCTTAATTACGACAAAAACCAAGTGATTCTAAACACACTTGATCCAAATAAACTGCAGCAAAGATGGGATGTGGAGATTATCTGAACGGCTGAGAGGATTTTTTTTTTTCTGGGTCCAACTCTGGATTTTTGTGTCCAAAGAGGAAGCAGCAGAACTGAACAAAGGCTAAAAAGGTCACAATTCATGAGAAAGTACTCGCTATACAAGACGTGGGCTCTGAACTTGAAATGCTTATATTTTACACCTGCAGTAATATTTCTTCAGATTTTTATTGTGTGTTTTGTTTGTCTCTTCCTGATAAGTTAAACAGTGTTACGCTTGTATCCCTTGTAATGCCATGTTTGAAATACAGCAAAGAAAAAGCATTAAATGTGCCTGTTTATAATTCAAACAAAAAAAAAAACAGCTGCCCTAATAAATAAAACTATTTTGTCAATATGTTTGTTTTTTATAAATAACTTGTACAGACGCAACAGTATAGTTCAGATTTTAAATATATTTATTTGTTCTTCAAAACACAAAAAAATGCTTTCTGGGAAAGTGAAAAACATGTTTTTCATAAAAGCAACACAAATAAGAGCAAAACGATTGGTTTGGTGTAACATAAGATGTACAGCAGGTAAAATAAGTATTGAACACGTCACCATTTTTCTCAGTAAATATATTACTAGAGGTGCTAATGACATGAAATTTTCACCAGATGTCGGTAACAACCCAAGTGATCCATACATACAAAGAAATCAAACCATAAATGTCCAGAAATTAAGTTATTTGTAATAATGTGGAATGGCACAGGGAAAAAGTATTGAACACATGAAGAAAGGGAGGTGTAAAAAGGCATGGAAAGCCAAGACACCAGCTGAACTCTCTCAGTAATTAGAAAGCAAGCCTGCCCCTTGTCAGTGCAAGTTAATATCAGCTGGTTCAGTCCCAAATGATGGCCAGGTATCACACAAGAACCATCTGATGATGGGTAAAAGTAAAGAGCTCTCTCAAGACCTTCACAACCTTATTGTTGCAAAGCATAATGATGGCATCGGTTACAGAAGAATGTCTAAACTTCTGAAGGTTCCAGTGAGCACTGTTGGGGCCATAATTCAGAAGTGGAAAGAACATCATTTCACCATAAACCGACCACGACCAGGTGCTCCTCACAAGATTTCTGACAGAGGAGTGAAAAGAATTATCAGAAGAGTTGTCCAAGAGCCAAGGACCACTTGTGGAGAGCTTCAGAAAGACCTGGAATTAGCAGGTACAATTGTTTCAAAGAAAACAATAAGTAATGCACTGAACCACCATGGCCTGTATGCACGCTCACCACGCAAGACTCCACTGCTGAAGAAACAGCATGTTGAAGCTCCTTTAAAGTTTGCTGCACAACATTTAAACAAGCCTGTGTAATACTGGGAGAATATAGTCTGGTCAGATGAGACCAACATTGAACTGTTTGGATGCCAGAATACACATCATGTTTGGAGGTCAAATGGCACTGCACATCAGCCCAAAAACACCATACCAACAGTGAAGTTTGGAGGTGGGAACATCATGGTGTGGGGCTGTTTTTCAGCATATGGTACTGGCAAACTTCAAATAATTGAAGGAAGTGGAAAAATGTACAGAGACATTCTTGATAAAAATCTGCTTCCATCTACCAGGATGATGAAGATGAAACGTGGCTGGACATTTCAGCAAGACAATGAGCCCAAACACAAAGCCAAGGAAACTCTCAGTTGGTTTCAGAGAAAGAAACTAAAGCTGCTGGAATGGCCCAGCCAATCACCTGACCTGAATCCAACAGAAAATCTATGGAAAGAACTAAAGATCAGAGTTCATAGAAGAGGTCCACGAAACCTTCAAGATTTGAAGACTGTTTGTGTGGAAGAATGGGCCAAAATCACACCTGAGCAATGCATGCCACTAGTTTCTCCATACAGGAGGCGTCTTGAAGCTGTCATTGACAACAAAGGCTTTTGTACAAAGTATTAGATAAATTTCAGTAAGTGTGTTCAATACTTTTTCCCTGTGCCATTCCACATTATTACAAATAACTTCATTTCTGGACATTTATGGTTTGATTTCTTTGTATGTATGGATCACTTGGGTTGTTACCRACATCTGGTGAAAATTTCATGTCATTAGSACCTCTAGTAATATATTTACTGAGAAAAATGTYGACGTGTTCAATACTTATTTTACCCGCTGTATCTGACAGCWGATGTCGYRTAAATTGCATCAATCCTGTTGCTAAAAGTCTGGTTGTTGATCTGAAAGGTAACTCTTCATCAWCAGGTGTGTAATAAATACCTGGTTACAGTACTGAAAGCTGTAAACTCCAACAAGAAGGAACTTTGGCTCGCTCTTCTTACAAACCCAAGCCTGGTTTTATGATCTGCAGCTCACAGCTTTTCTTTGTGGATTATAAAGTCTGCAGACTCATGAAGGTAAAAAGAGCCATGAGAGTCATTCTCTTGGCTTCTTTCTTTAGTTTTGCTGCGCTGTTTTTTGCACCTCATCCTCCGTGCGGCTGTCRTCCTCCTCCGTGACGTTTATCACCGTCTTCCCTCTGGCGTGGCCCTCTTCCAGCTTCCGGAAGGCCTGAGGCRCCTGAGCAAAGGGAAAGCGAGCCTCCACGACGGGCAGAATCTGAAACGAACCACCGAAGGGAAGGAAAATGTCAGAACGAGACACTGAAAATCCAAACCGGCTGCCAGAGGAAGAATTTGTCTCACTACCTTCATGGACTCCAGCTCGTTATAGAAGTCTCWGTGGGTTCTGCTCGACTGGGCCAACATCTAACGCTAGTTTTAAAAGCCAGAGTTGAAGGTGGGGGGGTTTTAAATCTGTTGGCAGGGATCGTGCACTCCCACATCCCATTAAACTTAACAAAACAGCTTCCTTCCTGTAGCCTGGCTTAAAACACTAATAATACAGATTATACAGGTTACCCTGTTCACTCAGACCTTCTGCTTTAGTGTTTAGGTTTCCCTCAACTGATGCTTTATTCTCTAACAATTTAAAAAATAACCTGAGGGCCAAATGTCCAACATAACAAGATTTTTTTTTATTACGAGAATAAAGTCATAATATTACAGAWCAGTACAATATTACAGGCTAAATAAGACGCAGTCATTTTAAAGTGTTCCCAAACGTCTTACTGCAGTCGGACTGCAGCTTCTTAGTAACAAACAACAGCGATGTTTAAGTTTCAAAACAGATTTTCAGCTTGTGCAAAAAAAAAAAGGTGTAATTAAAAATTTAAATGAAATTAAAAAAGCTCCTGGGAAGGTTTACAAAAGATTAAAATCTTTAGGCTAAAGATTGAATAATTAAATGAGCRCAAACCCCTGAATAAACATCGTTTGTGATTAAATTTGACTTGAAAATGCCAACATTTAACCATTTAATTAAATCCTAAAGGCGCACCGCTGACTGCCTTGAGATGATGGTGGACTTTTTTGATTTATATCATTTGGCATTAAATCTAAATCTTGCCACGTCAGGCAGAAATAAAACACAGAAATGTTACAGTCTGATTATTTCTGTCTGAGATATTGTTATGAACAGAATAAATGAACGAGTTGTTTCCTACTGACAATCGACTGAAACTCAAGCCCCTGTTGGAGATCTAATCGTGCTCAAAGAGAGCCTTGTTTGTGACACTGAAACTCTGACTTTCAGGTAATTACAGCTGACTGAGCAGAGAATCTCTTTTTGTAGTATACACTCTAATCAAACAACAGAAAAGACACTTTCAAAATAAAAGAACAGCTTCATATTTTAGAGAATTGAACAAAAATTCACTTTACTTCAGCACTAAAAGTCATTTTATCCACTGATTTTCTTTCTGCTAAAGAAAATTTCTTAACGAATAAACTTGAAAAGCACAAAACGTTGTTTTTGTTTAAAATAAGTCAGTGTGAGTTAGGGCTGTGTATTGGCAAGAATTTGGCGATACGATACATATCATGACAGAGGGGTCACGATACGATATATCCTGATGTATTTCAATACTGTAAACAAGGCGATTTATTGCGATTTCTTTTGTCCAAAAATTATATTAAATAAAAACCTCTTACTTTGGGGGGGGGATTCATTGTCTCAGAAAATTCTAATATTACATAGACATACTTTTGATACATTTAGCTGTGTTCTGCTTTGTATGTGTT